ACTCTTGCTCTTGGTAGAGCAGCATAGCATGAACGACAGCTCACAGCAATCTCAAACTCTTGGGCTCAAGAGATCCTCCTGCCTCAGCCTCCCAAGTAACGGGGACTACAGACACTCACCACCACACCTGGCTAGTTTTTCTATTTTTAGTACTGATGGGTCTTACACTTGCTCAGGTTGGTTTCCAACTTCTGAGCTCAAGCAATCCGCCTGCTTCAGCCTCCTAAGGTTCTAGGGTACAAGGCTAAGCCATGATATCCAGCCTTCTACCCACAGTTTTAAGTAGAAAAAAAAAAATTCTGTTAAAGTTGATGTCATACTAGCAGCTCAGTTTACGAGGAATATTTGCACTGGAGAAGAAAGATTTCAGAAAGGCAAGATAACAAATTTCAAATATTTTGAAGTATAATTATAGGGAAGGATTAAAATTCTTTTTCCAGAGCAAATCAGGGCTATTTGATGATAAGATCTGTGCAAAAATGAAAAGGTCTGCTTCATCAGTGTAAAATCCCAGTCCCGCCCATCAGGGCTCTTCTAGTGAGAACTACTGGCTTGGCAGGTAGGACTGATAGAAGACTGTCAGGCCTCAAGGAACGCTGAAGCTCCTTGATGGAAATTATTTTGTTGAGACTGAGTTTCTAATGTGAATTCCTAGGCAGTTTGCTATACCTTGTATTCCTATCTGATGAGCTCTGGTTGAGCCTTGCCTGTAGTAACTCCCTCACCACCAGCTGGCAGAAGTAGACTTAAAGCAGAGATTTTAATTGGAGAGCAAAAAAAAAAAAAAAAAAATCTAAAATATCTACCATTCCATAAAGTTCTGAGCTTGAGAATGCAGGCAAGTCCCACGTGGTGCCCCTCTGGCTCAGACGGCCCACCAGTGCTCATCACAGTGAGAAACTCTTCTGATCAGATTTGAGGTACAGAAGGAGTAAGAAGCATGAAATTTTTGACCTATCTGAAACTTCCAAAAGTTAGAAGAGATTTTTAATTCTAAAATCAAGGCTTCTCTTTCCCAGAAGACTAAATTTACTATAAACGTAGAAATAAAAACTCTATGATGGCTGTAGACATGTAAGACAAATAAATGAGGTTCTGTGGTTTATACATTTCAGAGTCTTACAGAGGTCCTAAAGTAGTTCAGGAAGACAGTTCAAAGTGTTGTTCCCTGAGTTCTTGAGGCAACTGGAAAGGTAAATTCATGAACTCCAAGACCTAGAGACAGAAAACCAACATGGTCAGCTTATCTGTGAGAATTCTAAAAGTAGCTGTTTACTCTGAAATGTTTTGTTCAGTGCATTTCTTCTCGTTCAAATGTTTTAATAATGTGGCTTTATCCATTTCTTAGAAGCCAGACTCCCAGTGAAACTTCTAAAGGTGGGTGGGGTGGGGAGAAAAGGCTGTTTAAAGAAAGTAAAGCTTTCACATTAGTTAAGAGTGCAGTTGAATAAATTAGTTCAAAGTCTATAATATAAGAAGAGTGGTTAACACCGTCATAGGCATTAGAAAATAGAATTCCATAGACTCAGACGCCTTTTGAGCGTCTGGCCTCAGTGATTGTTGAGCTCAGCTAGCCTTTTTATCTAATAGAATTAAAATCTACTGGTTAACCCAGTCTACCAATTAATTCAAAGAACCATGATATTACAAACAGAAAGGCTTTTCAGTATCCAGATGTGTAACAACACCTAAATTTAGTTTTAAAACAAAGTTCATTAATAACCATTCTAATCAGATCTCAAACTTAAAATATCTGGACTTTACATACAGATCTGTGATAGCGATCAAGAAAAAACAAAACTCATTCAAAACTGGGATTTTAAAGTTCTTGAACTGTTTTCATATATCCATCTTCTTGGCGGCTATTGGAATATTTAAAAAAAATAGTCAAGTCTTGGGAATAATTTAAACAGTGAAATATGTAAATATTTGAAACTCCCATCAGGGTCTATGTAGAAAAGTTAATTATGATGAATGAAGACTCCAATTCTGTTACTGGCAGTTTCAGGCTAGGCTTAATTTTAAGCCATTAAAGGTTGAAAAAAAAAAAAAAGGATTGAGAGATCCTACTGAAATGTTCCGTCTATTTCAGTAAAGTGCACAAATATGAGTGAATCCTTTGGTTTGGCTATGACCTCAGAGGAGGAGGAGAAGTCAATGGTGCAGGTGTCAGGTTCCTGACTATGTTACTGAGGCTGGCAATCTTCTCTTCCAGGAGGTAATTTTTCTTCTCTGCTGTTTTCTGCCGCTGTTCAGTCATTTCCAGAGCTTTCAGTAACTGTGCATTTTCAACATACAAATCCTTCACCACTGCATCTGCTTTAGTATTCTTGCAGAGCTAGAAACAGAACCAAAAACATCTTGACTCCATTTCTGTAATTCTTTTAGTTCAGAGTTCAAAACTAAGGACCATTGTTTTATAAAGGCAAATCACTTTTAGCAATTACATTCTTTTATTTTATAGGACCACAAACATCAAACGAGGCATCAGGGATGTAAGTGGAGCAAATCTACTTTTTCTAAGATATTTCTTTGCATAAAATGTTTGTAGAAGTTACTAATAAAAAAGAACACATTGTTATTTGAGGGCTACCAAATGATGAAAGGATATTTCCTACCTAAATGATTTAGGTACCATTCCTTTATTGATTCTCTAAAACTGTCAAGTACTTTTGTAACTTCTGAGGTGTAAAAGGTGAACTGTTTCAACTCTGCTCTTCAACCACAGATGTCAAGCTTTCAACTCTGAACTACAATCTACTGATTATTTCAAAATTTGGCTCATTTATGAGAACGAAGAGAGAAGACTCGGGCAGTTATTTTTCTTGAACTCCTCCTTTTTGGTATAGTGTAGAAGGTATATCCTAATCTTTCCGGTTAGAATACACAAGGGCTGCCTGGGAAGTGTCCAGCACATCTGCAGTAGGTCTCTAATGTTTCACATTACATGGCTGGATACTTTACAGATAGCCCTCATACAGCCTCGCTTGGGGTGGTGGGAGAACTTGTGAGCAGCCTGGGGATACTTTTACTATTGCTTCTGCTCATATGTTCCAAGCCCCTTTCCCATGTTACACCTTTAACTCCTCATTGGACACCCAATTTTAAGCAGAGTATCTAAAAGTATAAAGGTTTAAGGGAATAAAGAGCCTCTAACAAGGGCTAAGTTATTAGCACTTCAAAGGGTAATGATGTGAATCATAGCACCCTAAGGCCCAGAGCCCAGATGACTGGCAGGTGTGACAAACTTTCAGCACCTGCAGCTCTGCAGAACTTCCTACTACAACTCCTCTTCCCTCCTTCCCCCCTCACCTCCTTTCTATGGTTCTTCATGACCTACAGTGATTCAAATTCTCCGGCTCAGCCCTTAAGGCCCTCTGCTTCCCTGCTCGCCCCCCCCCACCCCGCCCCCTCCTCCGTCTCCCAGGACAGCATGAACTGGTAATGACGTGTCTGCACCACATACATCATCAGAACTCCACGATGGTCCCACAGTCAGGAATGCCCTTCCCACATTTCTTCACCCATTCAACTCTTAACCTTCAGGATTTGGTTTCAGAGGGTTCCAGGGAGCTTTCTTTAAATTTCTGGGTTGGACCAAATATCTCTTCTCTTGTCTTCCCCTCTACTGAAAACGAAAATAGGACAAACCCTATTTTATTTATTTTGGAGCCCACCACCTGGGTTTGCTTTCCCTGCGAGCAGGTCTTTGTGGTGGTCACTGCTGTATTTCCAGGGCCTGGAACAGGACCTGGCACACAGTAATTGTGTGTTGAATGCATGAGTAAAGGGTTGGATGAATAAATGTGTATAGAACAGGACTTTCTCCTCTGTATTCAAATATAGGGCAATGGAAAGTTCCTGTCTACCTCTGAATTCAGACCTTCTCTGGAGAATATTATTCTTAGGTTTTATGTATCTGGAGAATTAGGCCATGCAATTTCTGTCCCTACCCCACGAGTCTGTCTTAACCTCAATTCCCAGAGAAGCCATAACACCCTCCTAGGGTAGTATTCTTTATGAGCCTCTTTAGTGGATGCACAGCTAACTTCTCTTTTTCTTTTTTTTTTTTCACTTTTTTTTTTTTGTTAAGAGACAGTCTTGCTCTGTTGCTCAGGCAGGAGTGCAATAGCATGATCATAGCTCACTGCAGCCTTGAACTCCTAGGCTTAAATGACCATCCTGCTTCAGACTCTAGACTAGTTGTGACTGCAGACAGGTACCATCAGGCCTGGCTGATCTGAGAACCCCTACCCCTTTTTTTTTGAAATGGGGTCTTACTCTGTTGCCCAGTCTGCACAATGAGGCCACATCTGCCACCAGGAGGCGAAATGGAACAGGCTGCTTCTCAGTCCTGGAATTGGGGGTTCAGACTCTCAATTTGAAGCATATCTTTTTGGGTCTGGTGATAAAGTTGTCACAGCTATTTAGAACAGGAAAGCTAAAATTCTATTTATTACCTCTAATTTTTTTAATCAACATTTTGTTTATTTAAATAGGTACATTCTTGGGCAGAAAAATTCTATAAATATTCAGTTTGAGCTATAGAACCTGATTAGAAAAGCTTTAGGCCCATGTGTATTACTGTTAGCAAATATACATTTTATTTTATTTTATTATTTTTATTTTTAATTTTTGAGACAGAGTCTCAAGCTGTTGCCCTGGGTAGAGTACCTTGGCATCACAGCTCACAGCAACCTCTAACTCTGGGGCTTAAGTGATCCTCTTGCCTCAGTTTTTCTATTTTTAGTAGAGACGGGGTTCTTGTTCTTACTCAGGCTGGTCTTGAACTTGTGAGCTCAAGCAATTTACCCTCCTCAGCCTCCCAGAGGGCTAGGATTACAGGCATGAGCTGCCGCGCCCAGACTCAAATATACATGGTAAAATTTCAGACAAATACATGCCGTAAAAGAGCTTTAGAAAAACTAATGTATGATAGAGAATTCACATTTTGGGGGCAGCGTGGGGAGAATGGATCCTAAGTTCTTTTGGACATTTACAATAGAATTTGCCTTTATTAGACAGCACAAGTTAACAAATTAATGGCAATAAAGGGAAATAAAACCAGAGCAAAAGCTGGAGGGTGAGGTGGGCGGACAGAGGTGTCCAGAGAGGCTCACTTGTTCTTTGAGCTGATTCACTTTCTCCTGGAGAAGCCTCTTCACCAGTTTCAGCTTCTGTTCGACTTCCATCATCCGCTCCTCCATGACACTCACCAGGTGCTCCTGGCTCCCCTAAAAGGAAGTTAAAAAAAAGTACATAATCATTTGAAAATCATGCCATACTTTAAAATCCACTAGTTTCCCCACAAGATGCTGACAGAAAAGGACAGCAAATGTCTTGCCTTTGTAACAAGAAGGATGGATTTCTGGTGAACTAGGAGCTCTGAGCCCTGTGTGGGCTGCACATTAGCAGAGTAACCCTCTCAGAGAAAGAATCAAAGATAAACAAAAAAAACTTACCTGTGTTACCACTGTCCCCTGAGATAAAGCAAAATTCTGAAAACCCAAAATTTAATACCCGTGTGTGCCGATTCTAGTAAAACGGGTATGCGAAGCAAATTAAAAGGTGGTTATCGACCTTCCGTCTCTGACTTTGCTCTTGATACCATGGGCCTCTCAACAAAGAACACCCGGAGTTCACTCAGGGCTGCCTAATGTTTCCAACGGGCTTGCGTCCTGCATGTCGGTTTTTCATTTCAAATGGCTGAGGACGGTGAGGGTGTAGGTGAGGGTGTTAGTGTTTCTTTCTTCGTACTCATCGACTCTTCTTGCCAGTTATTCTAGTCATCTGTTTCCTAATTTAATTTGTCAATGGGAAGCAAACATCTGGACTGGGGGATGGGTTTATCAACAGGGCAGACTGCAAATTAAGAATCTTCTCCCCAGGAAGGACAGCTAGATGAAACAATAGGGCATTCTTCCTGTTCTCACACAGCAGTGAAGGGTTAAGGAGTGGGTGGGTTTTGGAGAGGAAAAAGAAGAACTAGAGAGATTAGTGTCCCTGACTGCCCCCTGCCTCCCTTCACAGGGTTCACAGAGGGAATTTCACATTCCAAAAGGCGCTTAAAATGTTCAAGGGAAGCTCAGGTGTTAATGGCTGATGACCCTTAAAAAAGTCTTTAAAGGCTCAGTTTAAAAAGCACCAGGAATGACCAAGCATGAGTTGAAAGCCAACATCTGTTTGGATATGAAATAACTTCGTAAAAGAAACAGCTACACCGTGTGATTCTTTTGAAGACAAAAATTAAAGTGGGCAAAAGTCTAATGCAGAAAATAAACTTTAAGAAATAAGACTTTGAGAACATTTAGCTTTTTATAAAGGCTATGTTTTAAAAGATAAAGCGGCTTTTTAAAGTTTAAACATGCTTGATTTTCACTTGCCTAAAAAAAAAAAAAAAAAAAAAAAAAAGCAAGACAAAAAAACCTTAACAGGTAATTCAAAGAACATGGCAAAAGAGTGGAAAAAAACAAAGGCGGTCATATATTTAAATTTTATTTTATGTTTCATCAAAATTTTCCCTTTTCCTGTCAAAAACTTTTATATATCTTATACAAAACAGTATAAATAACCCACATTTTCTTCAAATTCCATATATAAAAGTAGTAGTACCTTTTGTTAAAAATAGTGACAACATATGGAATGAGAAAAATATATAGAATACATCCTTTTGAGAATCTTAAATCCATGCTCTTTAAACGGTATAAATAAAATAATTTGTAACAAGATGAAGTTTGTGAATTTGATTCACAAGATCTGTCATCTCTGCATCAATAAATAAGAGACATAATACTGCAAAGGTTTAAACAGTAAAAATAAATAATTTAGAAGAGCACTGGACCCCGACATTTCTCAGCTTGGGTCTGTCTGTGTGGTGCATGTGCATGATGTGTGGGTGTGGACGCGTGTGTGTGTGTGTGTGTGTGTGTGTGTGCACCTGTGTGGTGCATGTGTGTGTGGTGCATATGTGGGCCTGTGTGGTGCATGTGTGGTATGTGGTATGTGTGTGGTGCATGTGTGTGTGGTGCGTATGTGGGCCTGTGTGGTGCATGTGTGGTATGTGGTATGTGTGTGGTGCATGTGTGTGTGTGGTACGTGTGCGTGCATGTGTGGTGTGTGTGTGGGCATGGGTGTGTGCATGTGTGGTGTGTGTGGGCGTGTGTATATGTGTGCAGGTGTGTGCATTTGCATGTCTGCCAGGGTAAGGAAAGCCATCGGTAGCAGCCCAAGTTCACAGGTGCCCAATCCTTCTGTAGGAATCTGCGTGCAGTGCCCGCTGCTCCGGTAGCAAGGCCTAGAGAAAGAAGGCAAGTGGAACACTTCACCCTGGTGTCAAGACTGATTTGGGGGGGTGTCCAAATTCACACATTTATAACGCAAAGCAACTTCTTAAAGCACACATGTTAACACGACATATGCGAGCGAAGCAACACAGAGGCAGAAGAGAGCACGTCACGGCACACACGGAGACAACGTGCGGATTCTGTCAGCATGCTGGATTTTTAGGACTAGTGTCAGCCCGTGAGAGGAGTAGGTACCATCCTGTCATCTGGCTGGAGGACTGTCTTGGATACAAAAGACAGTGTCTATCAGTGTCTATCTGATCCAGGAGTAATTGGAATCAAAAGGTATTTTATAACACTGGTGGGTGGAGACGAGTGTGTGTGACAGCCTTGAGTAGGATCCTGGCCAAAGCCTTCAGCTTAGAAGGCCCAGAAGAGCCTCTCTAGGTCAAGGTTGCGTGATTCAATTATTTCGTGACGAGTTGGAACACCGCTCTAATGCCCTACCAGCTACACAATTTAATTTGAAAATTTAATTTTAATATTAGGAGGCTGAAGCGGTATGTAGAAAGCTCCTAAAAGCAGATTTTAAAGCATATGAGACAAACTTTTGAGTAACAGGCGACAGAAGTAATTCACACCCACAAAGCAGAGCTCTGCGCCAGGCACAGCTGCCATGCGGATGCCACTTTGGGGGCGTGAGAGAAACAGTGGGGGAATCCCTGACGTGAACGGACAGGCAAGGGAGCCCCAAGACAGAAGCAACCCACCCAAAGCAAAAGGGCACTGGCCCCATATAAGGAGGTGGTGGGTTCAAACCCAGCCCCGGCCAAAAACTGCACAAAAAAAAAAAAAAAGAAGCGCTTTGATTCCTTATTCCTAGTTCTGAGTTAACTAAATGGGCAAGCCCCTAAAAAAAAGAATGGTTATGAACGAAGCACTAGGGAGAAATAACCATTCCAGAACCTAGAAAACGTAGACGATGCTGATTCAAAGAGGACGAGAAGAAGACCTTTATGTTCTTAGTTTTCCAAACTAGATCACTGAACAATTTCAGCGAACTATGTTATAACTAGAGGTCTGACTCTGTGTCTTACTATATTAGTTGTGGAAAGTCTCCACTTGTGAATTCCATGGAACTTGGCAGGCTACACCCTTCTGGTCCAAGAAAACTCGGGGTGCTTTGTCAGTCATGTGTACCCAAAAGTTATGCTAGAATTTTGTGACATTTTTGGCCTGAGGTGGGAATACTGGGCCAGGTGTGTGCTACGATAAAACGATACTTGACCTTGAATCACCGTACTTCATCTGCTACAGATGTGCAAGGAAGACCCAGAGCACTTAATTACCTGGTTTAGAAGCCGAGCCCGCCAAAGTAGCACTTCAGCAAACAAAAACACTGCAGTTCTGTGGGTTTAAAGTAGAACCCTCCGACAGAGGATTTCGATTCTTTACCCCCACTTTTGAATTGGCACAACTTTCAAACCAACAGGCAAAATAAATTGGGAAATCTGAGTTTACGGTGAGAGGGAGAAGGGCGTCCCACCTGCGGCGCATGGAGCTCTGAGGCCCGGCTCTCCAGTTCCTCCTGCAGGCTCTGGTTTCTCCTCTCTGCCTGCAGCAGCTGGTGCTGCAGCTGCAGAAACTGCTCCCTGGACACCATCGGACAGGCTGGCTGCTGGGGCAGCTGCAGCTCCCAGGCGTGAGGGGACGGGCTAAGCGTCACAGTGGACCTCAGGTGTGGCCTCTGCAGGACAAGCACAGGCCTGGTCAGCTGTGGTGCCTTCAGCCCCAGAGCTGCCCTTGCACGTGTCAGGCAGAGAGTGATGGAGCCTATGAACTCAGTCACGGCCTCACACCCATTGACAACGTAAGGGGACAGTGCGTGAGCCTGAGATAGATGAAAATAGAAGAGCATTTTGCTTAGATGACATGACTAGTGACCAAGCAGGCTTTCCCAAAAGTTGTAGATTTTAAAAGCAGCTCTTCAACTCGTGACTATAAAGGCATGAAATACATGAGGCACAGAATCTGTCGGAACTCTCTCTTTTTTTCTCACACTGAAACATTTAATTACCACCCACCTGGGATTAGAGTAGGAAAGACGGGGGAGAAGGTGGTTTTGCGTTAGGGTTTTGCCACTTTACATATGATTCAGAAAGATTCTTTCAGGCAAGTGTTCGTGCATACATATTTTCTGACCCCAAGTTAGTAATCTTTTCAAAGAATCTGATCTTACATCTAGAATTACTTTAAACTATCATTGTCACTGTGTACTTACCCCCTTAAATTAAAAATAGCACAGTAGACAGGCACAATAGACAGGCAATTCTGGGGCATAAGGCCACGATATCCTAGAACATCCGGGAATTGAGAGTACACACATATTGAAAGATTTGTTCAGGAAATGATATGGGCATTGACATGCCGGTCAGGGTAGGGGAGAGGACAGGGGAGGAGGTGCTGTGGCCCGGCCAGCGAGCACACCGCCTCATACCTGCTGACTCTCAGGGCTCCACAGAAAGCATGCAACACACGACCAAGTGCCGAGGTCAAGGAGGGGAGACAGGACCTCTCAGGCTCAACTATAATTCAATGTTATCATGAAGCTTCAGAGCCACTATCCATTTCCTTTTTTTTTTTTTTTTTGAGACAGAGTCTCACTCAGTTGCTCTGGGTAGAGTGCTGTGGTGGTGTTACAGTTCACAGCAACCTCAAACTCTTGGGCTCAAGAGATCGTCTTGCCTCAGCCTCCTGAGTAGCTGGGTCAACAGGTGCCTGCCACAATGCCGGCTAGTTTTTCTATTTTTAGTAGAGGTGGGGTCTCACTCTTGCTCAGGCTGGTCTTGAACTCTTGAGCTCAGGAAATCCACCCACCTTGGCCTCCCAGAGTACTAGGATTACAGGCATGAGCCATCTGAATTTCTTGAAGTGGACTATTACCCATTTTGAAATACTCCTAGTGTAGATTCAGAAAATCCACCACTTTGTTTTTCATGAATAAAGAATATGGATAATTGTGATCCCATGATTTTATATCAGTGGGATAATTTTCTCCATAATGATGCCTTCAATATTGAGGAGAAGCCTGATGTGAATATAAAAAGAAATATGTTATGCGCTTAGAGCATGATGAAAATGAATACTGGCTCTTACCCACTTACTGTTACAGTCAACAGAAATGAATGCATGAACAATGAGTTCCATGGGATGGCTCCATGCTATGAAAGTTTATTGAAAGAGAATGCGCTACCTTCACACACTATCTCGGGCAGAGAACTGCACCCTTCTCTGCTACTTCCAACCACTGAGTTCTAGGTACAGGTTAGCCACAGACAAAACAAAAACAAAAGAAAATTACAGGAGTTATAAAAAGAGGAAGAAAAGTATGAGTTATAAAAAGAAAAAGAACAGTGCCATCGTGTACACCATATACGTGAATAAGAGCATATGAAGGACCAACACTTACACTTTTCTGGTTATAAATTTTACAGGACTTAAAATATCTCATGGCTTTAAGTCTGCATCCTCACCTATAATCTGGCTGGTCTGTGAGCTTGCCACTTTTACCTGTCTCCATCCCAATATAATTACGTGGAAGATTCCAGGTCCAGAATGGAATGGATCTCAGGTTAAACCCCTTGTCACAAGGAGAAGCAAAACACAGTACGAACCATAAAATACTTTTGTTGTTCAGGCGAACGGTTGGCTATCACAGAGGTACCCAGCAGACTTGAGTTGCTAATATAGCCTATAATTCTTTTCTTAACTGTTCAAAATGAATTGCTATTGTTAAACATTACCTTATATAGCTGCGAAAGCTCTGGCGTGGGAGTCAAATTCTAGCCCTGACTCTTTCCACTGCTGTCTCACGATTTGCCGTCTTTAATGACAGTGAGGCAGAGTTGCCTTAGATCAGTGGCTTCTAAACTAGCATGTAGAGATGAGGAGAGACCCCTTCCCTCAAGGGAATGCATATGTCGGTTTAGAATCACCTAGAAAGCTTTTCTCAATTCCCTGATCCCAAATATTCTGATGCAGGAACTTCCTCCTGCCTGTTTAGTACCCGTGTCCTCAAGCAGGTAAGAATCCCTGCCAGAGTAAGGAATGCACCTATCCGTCAGGTGAGCTGGGCACAAAAGGTGGTACAAAACCGCTGTACAGCCTTCAGATTGGCCCAATCTACAGAAAGCATAATATAAATAAAAATCCAATTTGTAAGGGGGGAGTGGTTAATGGCTAACAGTTTCTGTCTGGGGTAATCAAAAGTTTTGGAATAAGTGGTAATGGTCGCACAACACAGTGACTGTAATTAATGCCACCACATTGTACAATTAAAAATTGTTAAAACTGGCCAATTTTATGGTCTGTATATATTTACAAAAGTTTTAAAAAGCCAGTGATTTAATATACCAAAACCCACTGTTTTGTACATGTTAAATGTGTAACCCGGGTATCTCAACAAAGCTGTTAATCCAGCCTATAGAAATCTGTGGTATTAACAGTTTAGCCTAATTTCCCAAAGAAAGTTTCATCAGATAGTGTCTGAGATGTTCTTTTCAGTGTTCAAGTTGAAAATCCCTGCCTTTTCCTTATTTATTCAGCTCCAGTGCCAAGGACACTCAATTTCCCGCATCTTTTAGCAAATATTTACTGTTAGATCAGGGGAAAAAATAATGAGAGGAAGTAGCTTTTGACTGCCGGGGCTGGGAGAGCAGGTCAGGGAAGACTCAGCCTGTGGCAGAGCCCAGGGAGGCTCTGGGGATGACTAAGTGCCCCTGTTACCGTTCCTTGCGCTGCTAAACGTACTGGGCTTAGCTTCAGACATCTGACTGTTACAGCATATAATTATTTCATCAGAAAAGCAAGTCTGTATCCAAGCACAATCCACAGCTCAAGGTTTTGAATACATTTATTATATGCTGTCAGAAAAGAAAAAAACAGTTTGGATTTCACTATTTATACTTTCACAAATTGCCCCATTAGTGGGTAAATCAGGGAACGTAAAATGGATAGATGCCTCAGTGGTTCTTTAAATGTTAGTACAACATGTTTTCCCTTATTCACATTTAAAACCAAGCAGATTTGTAAAGTTACCTTTGCATGTGTCCAGCTTTATTAGAGAAAATATTTAAATCTCTCCATTCCTTCCTAGATTCTGGCTTAATAAATACATAGTACTTTTTAAGAACACAAAGACATTTCTTACTTTATGTATAAATTTTACAGTTCACTAAACATTGGATTAATATTTTCATCTAGGCAAAGCAAGCATCTCAGTGAAATATTACTTATTAAGGAGGATTTGTATGTATGTTGTTTTATATCCTGTAACTGAACTTGAAGTTGATCTAGCAGACTGGAACGGACATACAAGCTGACAACAATGTTTTTTTCCTTGAGACAGGGTCTTGCTCTGTGGCGTCATCATAGTTTGCTCACTGTAACCTCAAACTCCCGGGCTCCAGTGATCCTCCTGCCTCAGCCTCCCAAGTAGGAGTACATGTGACTACAGGAGCCCACCACCATGCCCAGCTAATTTTTCTATCTTTGTAGAGATAAGGTCTTGCTCTGTTGCTCAGACTGGTCTCCAACTCCTGGCCTCAAACAATCCTCCCGCCTCAGCCTCTAAAAGTGCTAGGATTACTATGCCCAGCCCAAGCTGACAAGTCTTACAAATCCAGATTTATAAGATGTATCTCCCACAAGTCAATGTTGAGTTATAAAAACTTCTAAATATCAGCCAGCACTAGCTCACAAACTCGCTGCATGCATCTCCTAACTGAAGGGCTGGGTAGAAAGCAATGTCAGTATAATGTTCCAATAGAGAAGGCAAACACAAACACAGATGGTGAGAGAGCTCTGGGCCCGGGCACGGTGTCAGAGTCCTGCCGCCTGACCTGAGTCTGTGAAGCAGAGGCCTTTGCATTTTAGGTCAACATTATTCCTTCCTCTGCAAAGCACTATGGATTTCTATGACAGAGTAATGAAGCAAAAATGTCCCTTAAACTTGGTAAGACAGACCAAAAACTTCAGCTTGGCAGGGTACTTGGATTCTCACAACAGGAATTCAATGCCATGTCTACTCTCTCCCAACAAATGGCTCATTCACGGATTAAAATATTCTTCACGGCTTAGGCCATCTGCTTAGAAACTTACCTCCACGAGCTGCCCATCCAGTTTTACTTGTTTCTTTTTCAGGCCTTCATTTTCCAAATGAACTGTTTCTAATTCTCGTTCAAGGGAATTCATCTGACTGACCTGTTAAAAAAACAGAAAATTCCCTTAAAAAAATCCTGAGTTGCTCTGTTTCACTTTGACAAATCTATGCTAGTCAGAAATCTCAACTCTTGGAAGAAAGCCAAGATAGTTCAGCCGTGGAAAACAACAAACATTGCAATCCAGGGCCTTGCTTACTTTAAGGGACAGTTTGAATCACCAGTCCTCGGAACAGATTCCTTAAGGCGGCTGGCTTTTAAACACAGATGCCACCCACTGGAAGAAATCGGTTTTATCTTACAACACAGCACAGCCACCCACAAGTACATAGATAAGCATAATCAGTCCCAAGCACATATATCTGAAACACTTATCGTCACCATGAGCCAGGCACTCTGGCATTTTCCAGTATATCTTATTAATACAAAATGCTTGTTTTCCCTAAGTCAATTTCATGATCCTCTACTGTGGCTCTACAGTGGGAAAAACACTGCCTTAAGGCAAAGTTAAAGGTTTAAAATTGAGAGCACATAAAACCTGATTTATACAACTCCTTTCTCTGTCTTACTTATTGTTTTAGAGACAGATTCTCACTCTGTCACCCCAGTTGGAGGGAAGAGGTGAAATCATAGCTTATTGCAGCCTCCAGTCCCTGGGCTCAAGCTACCCATGCACCTTGGCCTCCTGCGTAGCAGGGAGGACCATAGTCATACACCACCACGCTTGGCTACTTTATTTTTATCTGTGTAGAGACAGGATTGTGTTTTATTGCCCAAGATGGTCTTGCACTCCTGGCATAAGGGATCCTCCCCAAATTCTGGGATTAAGGGCACGCGCCATTGTGCCTGGCCCCTCTCAATTTTAAAGATGAAATTTGATGATTTTGTGAGTATTCATTTTTGGAATTTTCTTTACCACAGGAAGAATCCAGGGCAATACAGAACAGTGGCAGTCAGAACACTGCTAAATAGGAAACATGTGACACTATTCCAGAATGCTGAGTTTGCCTGTATCAAGGAATGCTGCAGAGAGCAGTAGGAATTGTTAAACAAAAGTGGAATCTTCCAGGTCCATTTAAAATTGTTATTTAAAAACCTGTCACATTTCCCCTCATGAATAAAGGTTTAAAGTTGAGAGTATATAAAACCTGATTTATACAACTCCTTTCTCTGTTCTACTTATTTTTTTAGAGATAAATTCTCTTTGATGAAACCCACTCTCTTTCTAAAATGTTTACGTTAACGTACCTGAAATTAAATGACATTTCAGCTTTGTAGCACACCTGGCCTTTCTGTTGCAAATGGTCATAATAAAAATTTTAAAAAATTTTATGAATATTTTATTTCATTCTTCCCACATTTTTAAAGAAATAGCTTTTTTTTTTTTTTGACAAAGAATATCATTTTGTCACCCTTGATAGAGTCCTGTGGCATCATGGGCTCACAGCAACTTCAAACTCTTAAGCTCAAATGATCCTCTTGCCTTGGCCTCCCAAGTAGCTGGGACTATAGGCGCCCACTACAATGCCCAGCTAGTTTTCCTATTTTTAGTAGTGATGGGGTCTCACTCTTGTTCAGCCTGATCTTGAACTCAAGCTCAAACAATCTACCTGCCTCAGCCTCCCAGAGTGCTAGGATTACAGGCGTGAGCCACCGCACCCGGCTAAACAAACTACATTTTTAGGAAGGGAAGGTAATAGTGAAAATTTGAGTTTCAGTTTAGAAAAAGAAAGAAAAATAAGTGACCACCACCATCCCAGAACAACAATGGTCTAGAACTCTGACGTCTGGGACAAAGCAAGCTGCCTGCAGCAGTCTGACCACATGGCTACTGGCTCCCACGTGGCCTCCACGGCATTCATTCTCTTGAATAGACCCTTTCTACAGGACACCAAGGTGAGGCTGTGTGGCAAACAGAATACAGCAGGAATGTTGGTCAGTCACTTCAAAGGGTTCTCTTAACAGCACCACAGCTCTGCCTTGGTCTTCTGGTCTCACGTCTGTCTCCTCACTCCCTCAGGGGGAAGCCAGCTACCATGTACAGAGAAAAGGCCCAGGTGGTGAGGAGCTGAGATCTCAAGCAAGCAGCTAGCAAGGACCAGAATCCTCTTGCTCAGAGTTACATGAGTGCACTTGGAAAGTAGATCCTCTTTCCCAGTGAAGCCTTCAGATAACTGCAGCCCTGGCCAACATCTGGACTGCAACCTCCTGAGAGCCCGAGTTAGACCACCCAGCTAGGCAGCTTCCGGATGCCTGATCCATTCAGAATGGGACAACAAATGCTTGACTTTGCCACACAGCAATAAATAATCCAGACCGTATTAAGATGTTTCTGATATCCAGGCTATAGGTACATATCGGCTAACTTACAAAGGCTTACAACACTAATGAAGATGGTTAACTGCCTTCTGTATTAAAGCTTAAAGTAAAGGGCTCTTTTTACAGCCCTTATTCAATCAGAAAGAACTATGATACTGTTTTGACAGGAGATATAAGGAAGAACTATAATGTGCCACTGTAATCCTTTCCTGACACGCACACATGACAAGAAACACACACTTGGGGACACATCAGAGAGACGGCGCAGCACAAGCACATTCCCGCAAAGCCCACCTTTCTGTGTGCAGGAGCTCGCTCTTTCTGAAACTGTTCACACTCTCTCTTTAAGTTAAACTTTTCTTGCTCTGTGGGTTTCACAGGACCTGATGGGTTTAGATGTTTTTGGTGCTTGGGAAGAAGGTTGGATTCCAGTTGACGGACCTAACAACAAAGACAAAATGCCAATACAATCATCCACCCAGGAAAATAAAGGACACAGGAAGCTTCAGTTCAGCACTTGGGTCCTGTTGCAACTTCCTTTTCTGTCAAACCCGTCAAAGATCGAAGCCTCCTCTTCTGGATTTCAAAAGATCCTCTGTAGGTAAATCTGGTTGGGTCTATAAGCCCAACACTGTAAGGACAAGACAGAATAGGGGACTCGGAGTCAAAAAGTGTATGTGACGTGGCTGCCAAGGAGACGAACAGAGCAGTTCCAGGCACTTTTATTCTGACACAAGCATTACTGTCAGGAGTGAACGAGATGACAGGCCTCTCTACTCTGTGTTGTACTGTTCACACCTGAAACAACTAAGTTCCCTGAAGACAGGGACTGTTTCTGGCACAGAGTAGGTGTTCCAAATGGACACCTATGACTCCTGAGAGCGCGGCCTCTCAGAAGAGGTATTGAAGATGAGGTTAAGGATCATTGATCAGCTACCTGGCAAAGGTGAAGAATTCAAGCACCAGTTTGGTGGTTGGAAAAGATAAACTTTACTGATCATCCCAACTTTGAAATGCTGAGTAATTTCCAGAGGGCACCTTTTCTCTTTTAAGGAATTAGTTAGACCTGTTAGCTCTAAGTTTTGCTGGTTTTGTACTCATAGTCTTGGTGGCTGGATAATTTAATGAAAACTATATGGTTAACATCATTTCCATGAGTCTGTAGTTTGGATATGAGGATTAGAAGTATCAATATATTTTAATATAGAACTGGCTATACAAAGCAAAAGAAACGTTTTATAACCATAGGGTAAAATTATATGCAAGTACGATAAGTTATACATTCTTAAAAATAAGTCTGCTGTAGCAGGATACTCAAATTCATGCCCTTGAACCATTTCAATCAATGTTAAACATCCATCTTCCTATCAAACTAGTCATTTTCAAACAGATGCCACCACATGCAACTTCTCAAGTCACCTTCTCCCGGGAGTGTGTGAGAGCTGCTTTGGTGTTATGAACCACAGTTTGGAGTCTCTCGTTCTCTTGCCAAAGCAGCTGCTGTTCCTCATTCATCAGATGGTCCAACTTGCCCCAAGAAAGCCTTTGCTGCAGGTTATGGAACCCTGGTGGGTGGGTAGCTGTCTCCGGGGCCCAGTTCTTAAGAGAGAATTGCAGAGTTAAGTAAGCCTTAAAAACAAGATGATGGGTAATTTCTATTTTGAGAAGGGCATCGTATTTACCTAATGACAACAGTTTATACTTCTTTCAACCCTTACCTTTGTCTTCTCATGAAAGACATAAATATACATAAATATGAAAAAAACACCCAATATTCTTGGAGTATGACTTTAAAAAAGGTTTGAAAATTCTTTGTTTGAAATGGTCTTTGGCAAAACAGTCCCATCAAGTCCGATAGCAAATATGATTGTAGGACAAGTCCCAGTTCTGTTTGGGATCCAAGTATATAGAGATTGGTGGCTTAAGAAAACTGCCTGGGCAAGATGGTGAGACTTTGGTCTCAAAACCATGAAAACCAATCCTTCATTTCTGGCTGGAAAGCAAAAAAAAGTCTTCTTTGAGCCTAGAAAACACTCTCTACTCTTTTGATTGATGGGGGACACAAAGGGAACTCTGAGACGCACTGCCAGCTCGCGAGCTTCCACAAGCCCAACCCCACTGTCATTTTCACACTTGCAATCATATCCTTTTTTAGAATCCAAAGCACATACTGTCTGTGCAATTAAGGGCTAAATGCAGGAATATGCTTTAAGCTACCAAAGTGATTTTTTGGATCTTGAAAATCATTTAAAAAATAAAGTAACACAACTACATAAGCCTCCTGCCTTTTAAGTCAAACATGAGAAAGAAAAAAAAGTTACAATCTCATTTTGAGAAAAACGTCAGTCCAGAAGTAATTTTTTAAAAAAAAAGTTTCACTAAGAGATAGAATAATTGAATCAGTGCCTCCTTTTACTAGAGGACAAAAATCTTAAGATCTACCCCAAGATTGACACTCACATGTTCTTAATTTATTTGTGCACCGGTAAAGCAGCATTGTGATATATTAAAATGAGATAGTCTCTATACCACCACAGTGTTCCGACGGTTGACACCCCAGCGAACGCTTCCTGGACTTTCTGGCATCACAGCAAAAACTCATTTGGTAGCAATGAATTATTTCCCGAAATTCAGTACTAACATGTGTCCCAAAGGTTGCCCCTACAGTCGCATCCAGAGGGAAAAGGAGAAATTGTAGCTAAATGTTCCTTTATTCACAAAAATACAATTTCCCATTTTCCCTATGGATGGCGACTTTAGGGGTGACCTTTGAGGCATCCTGTATTGTTTTACGCCACAGTTTTCTTTTCCAGTAAATGTTTTAGTTTTTTTTTTTGCACCCTGGATGTGTTTCCTAGATAAATTTATTGCAACATTTTTCTTGACTTAATTTATTTCGGGTCACATGAACACTTTTATCTGTAATTTTACTAAGAAAACATTTTAATTTCATTACTACAAAACTCAACTGAGCTATGATCTTCTGACTTACTGAGTATAAAAACTACCTGTTTTGTACCATGATTCCACGTATATAAAGTTCAGAAAAAAGCGTCTCTAATCTATAGCTACAGAGAGTGTGAAAGTGGTCCCACTGGGGTTACCCACTAGAGGGCACAAGGAGAGCCAGCTAGGTGCGGGAACTGCTCTCCATTTTCATCTAAGTGGCAGTAACACAACCACACACAGAGGTATGTAAACTAAATATATTTATGGATACGTATATAGACACATAAAAATAATCAAGTTACAGACTTAAAACTTGTGCACGTTACTGTAAGAAACTTATAGTTCAATAAAAAAAGAAATTACCTTGTCGCTAGCATTCTGAAGTTGCTGGTGTAAAGACACCACTTCTTGTGTTAAAGCCTCCTTCTCCTGCTGAGTTACTCGTAGGTCAGCTTTAATCTGAGACATTTGCAGGTTTACGCTCTGCAGGGCATCTTCTAAGTCCTGAACCTGCGTCATGAGAACAGTCTTACCTCACCACACAGACCCGTGTGCCTGACCTCTAGCATGTCTGGGAAGGAATGAACAAGGACCAAGGAACTCCAAGGTCACTTCTATTCATGTTTACTACACCCAGCTTTCTTTTCAGTAGCTCCATGGCAACCCAAGATATTATATATACTTATAGGATGCTAAATTTTATTTAGGACAATGACAAACTCTGCCTAGAGCAAGGTATTGCTAATACTGTCATCTGGTAGATTACCAAGCCTCTTACAGAACCACTGAGGGCCAACTGGCATCACAAAAGATGGTTTCAGGGAATTTTGTAGAAATTATGTTTTAGCCTGTGGTGTTGCGTTATAAAGGATCTCTCAGTTGAAAATGAAAATACATACTTGTAGATTCCCATTGCATACTAATATCTCATAAATTAAAAAGACCCTGAAATTTATAAAAGGAATGTTGAATGAGATTGTTAACTATAGTAGGGCACGAACCGGCCTCAGACGTTCTATTTCTAAATTGGGAAAACGTAATCATTTTTATATACTCTTCTCAAGCTTTCATAAGTAATCTCACAATTAGTGGACATTAAGGAAATAACATTTGTTTTATCCACTATAAAAATATGTCAAATGCTGCTCAAGCTGATCATTCTGGGCCCCTTTGGCAACTGCCACCTGATCTTTCTTTCCACTGGGATTTCTGATAGAAAACACAGGACGGCACTAGCTGTGAAGACAAGAACTGGCCACGTACCTTTTCCTGGGAAGCCACCAGCTGTGATTTTAAGCTCTCACTTTGGTGCTCCCAAGACTTCTGTTCCTGCTTCATCGTAGCAATCCTGTGCTCTAAAAGACTTGATTTTGCCAACTGGTTCAGGAAGAGAAGAGAGGCACAGAGTGTTTTTGTAAGTGTATCTAGCTTTCATTTACACGCCTCCACTTACATTGTCAAGATCGAGTACAATCGAATTATGTGGTGGAACAGGACAAGGTTAAAAAATAATTACTTTTACTGACTCCTTGTTCTACCCATAATTTTTTTTTTAGGGGGGATTGCCCATTTTTCTTTCTTACTGCCTCACATTTTCAGGGTGGAAGATGGAAGGCTGGAAGGCAGTGAGAAATCTCAAGAGTGTGCCACGGTAGGAGAATATGGAATACCGACCGCTAAGGCAATGCTTTCAGATCTGCTGGAGAAATATAATGGAAAAAAGTGTCTGAGTCCATGAAATAGATCTCAGATTACTAAAAACAATGTTTAGATTATATACAACAAAACATGTTAAATAATTACAGTAAGTAGCATTGTGATACATTAAAATGCAACAAAATTTATATTATTGATTTAATAATAAAATTTTCTTTGCGATAGTCTCACTCTGCTGCCCTGGGTTGAGTGCCATGGTGTCATCACAGCTCACAGCAACCTCAAACTCTTGGGCTCCAGCGATCCTCCAGCCTCAGCCTTCTGAGTAGCTGGGATGACAGGTGCCTGCCACAATGCCCAGCTAATTTTTCTATTTTTTTTTTATTAGTAGATATAGGGTCTCGCTCTTGCTCAGGCTGTTCTTGAAGTCCTGAGCTCAAGCAATCCACTGTCTCAGCCTCCCAGAATGTTAGGATCTTAAGTGTGAGGCACTGCACCTGGCCAATAATAAAATTACTCAATGACTAATTTAGACTCTGTCACACTCATGGCTTCAGGAAATCTAGGGTCACGTCATGCTGTTTGAGGGGACTTTGGAATAATCGGGCTAACAGGGTAGGCCCACATGCCACCATGCAGAGAAAGGCTCTTCACAAGTACACTGCACAGCGACGGTAAACCAGTCTTTTATTTTTACTACCTTGTCAACGCAGCTATTTAATTCTTCACTTAGAGCCTCCTTTTCTTTCAGCAATTTTTCATTGTAGCTTAGAACGCTAGAAATCTTTTGCTGGAAGTCAGAGAGATCAGGACATCTGCGCAGCTGTAAGAGAGAAATGAATAAGCCTCCCATCACATCTCACGGCTGTAAGCAGAGAGATGTGTTTATAAACCAGGCCTTTCTGCAGGGACCGCAGAGGACATGCAGACTCTAGTGCACTACAGTCAACTTTAACAAAATGTTCACTACCGGGTTCTCTCTGCTGCCCACATGACCGCTGAAGTGTCTGCTCAAAGAGACTCAATCGGCCAGACACTGTTGATCCCAGCTCTGCATTTTACCTTCAGGGTTAAAATGACACACTGCCCTTCTGTCGCCAGTGTAACTTATGCACATTTAACATATTATATTTTCTCATACTTTTTTTTTTTTTTTGCAGTTTTTGGCCAAGGCTGGTTTTGAACCCGCTACTCCCGGTATATGGTGTGGGTCTACTCCACTGAGCCACAGGTGCCACCGTTCTCACACTTTAACTAGAGAAAACCTTTTTTAAGAAGTTTCCGTTAAGACTTTAGAGTCTGCATGAACCTATACAAGGTAGGACACAAGGGCAAGTTTAAAGACTAAAGTATTCGTTTTCTAGCTTATTCCATGTGCCCTTCCCTTCACAAGATGCCAAGGCTGACCTGCCCTGACATGCTGCTGTGTGGACGCACAATGGCCGTTGCTGCCGTACTCTTATAGAACTAAGACAGACAAAGGCTGTTTTGGTCTTTCATGGCACCACTATTGGGACGACAGGTATGTGGGCCAGACACCTCCTAAAACATCACAGAGGCCCCAGATTTACCCACAGATGTCAGTGGCACATTCCCCCAGTGCACACACATTGCCAAGGGTCCCAGGATGGGGGAGCAATCCTCACCACGCCAACCCTGTTGAGAACCACTCCTTTAAAGACTGTTTCTTCCACTCCTTAATCCTTTCCCAAAGTTGGTAAGTTGTTTTTGTTTTTGTTTTTGTTTTTTGAGATGGAGCCTCAAGCTGTCCCCCTGGGTAGAGTGCCATGGCATCATGCTCACAGCAACCTCCAGCTCCTGGGCTCAAGCGAGTCTCCTGCCTCAGCCTCCCAAGAAGCTGGGACTACAGGCGCCCGCCACAACCCCTGGCCATTTTTTGGTTGCAGCTGTCATTGTTGTTTGTCAGGCCCGGGCTGGGGATTCGAACCTACCACCTTAGGTGTATGTGGCTGGCGCCTTAGCCGCTTGAGCCACAGGCGCCGAGCCAGTTGGTAAGTTTTTAACTTGACTGCAATTCACCTGGTTTTCAAATTTTCTTTCTTTCTTTCTTTTTTTTTTCTTTTTGACACAGTCTCATTCTGTCATCCTAGGTAGAGTGCTGTGGTGTCAGCCTAGTTCACAGCAACCTCAAGTTCTTGGGCTCAAGCAATCCACCTGCCTCGGCCTCTCAGAGTGCTAGGATTACACGTGTGAGCCACACCCCGGCAGCTTTCAAATTTTTAATTCTTTATTATCGTTCTGATTTTATGGCCATCTTTCTACTTCCCACTGAAGTTCTTTTACATTTAGCTTTAGGAATGATATGACAGGAGGCAGGAGGATCATTTGAACCTAGGAGTTTGAGGTTGCTGTAAGCTAGGGCGATGCCACAGCACTCTTCGCCTGGGTGAAGAGTGAGGCCTCGTCTCAACAAAGAGGAGAGAAAAGGCATAAGAGGGACCAGCCTTACCTAAGTCTCACCAATCAGGAATGAACAGAACTACGAAAGTTAAGAGCAAGAAAATTACCCTCTTTTTAAATAAACTTATGTTCCTCTATCACCTGGCTGAGAGAAAGTAAAACAATAAATTTGGGGGGGGGCAGTTTTTGGCCAGGGGCTGGGCTCGAACCTGCCACCTCTAGCACATGGGGCTGATGCTTTGAGCCACAGGTGCCTCCCTAAAACAATAACTTTTTAAAATTGAAGTGGTTGGGATTCATTTGTAGCAATGGAATTTTAGAGTCTGTAACATATAGAGGTTACATTCTAGAAAAATTTGCAGTAGGAATCCTCACAGACTTGACCAAGCAGTAGCTGGTCAGTGGGACTCAGTACTGAGGACGTCTGGCTGGGAAGCCCAGACCATCAGGTGCACGCTGCTCTGTGAACCCCCGTAAGCCACACCGTCTTACCTGTTTCACTTTCTCCAGTTCATCCTTGAGAAGGAGGTTCTCCTGTTCCAGGGTATGGGTTTGTATTTTAGCTTCAGAAAGTTCTGCCTCCAGAGAAGACACTAACCTGGAGGACTATGAGAAAAATGAAAAAGTCAAGTAACAGACATATTCATGCAGGCGGAACTTTACTAGGCCCACTAGGCGATGTTAGGGAAACAATAACACAATTCAGCGATGCACTGTTTATGATCCTTTATCCTCATGCTAGGCAGAACCAACCAAAGTAACCTTTTCAAAGAGTTTCCACTTAATGGCACACATACGATTCCTAAGGTAGTTTCTGCATATTTCTCTCATGTAAAGTTATTCTCTTTCTCTTGGCAGAGATGCTTTGAAACTATGCAATCCTATTTCTACTTAAACTTCTGCTTATTAATTTTAGTATCTGTCAATGAGTTTAGTTCACCATTTATTAATGGGCTGTTTCCTTAATGCTGATTTTTTTCTTATTTCTATCTTTCTTTCTACATTTATTTACTTTATTTTGTTTATTTATTTTGAGATAGAGTCTCACTTTGTTGCCCTTGGTAGAGTGCCATGGCATCATCGAAACTCACAGCAACCTTAAACTCTTAGGCACAAGTGGTCCTCTTGCCTCAGCCTCCCAAGTAGCTGGGATTACAGATGCCCACTACAATGCCTGGCTATTTTTTAGAGGTGGGGGTCTCGCTCTTGCTCAGGTAGGACAATCCTCCCATAGTGCTAGGATTACAGGTATAAGTGACTGTCATCCTGGATGGAGTGCTGTGGTGTCAGCCTAGCTCATAGCAACCTCAAACTCTTGGGCTCAAGCAATCTACCTATCTCAGCCTCCCAGAGTGCTAGGATTACAGGTGTGAGCCCCACGCCCAGCTCTTTTTAATTTTTTTTTTTTTGAAAATATTCTTTTCCTGGCACCATGACAATGTTTCAGGCTTACCTTATATTTTCTCTGCCCCCGCTTTGGAATTAATCATTTTTCCAAGGAATCCTGGTTCCTTTCATAGGAAAATGGTGTTTAGAAACCGAGCTCAGGGCACCCCACGCACACAATCACACCTGTATTTCTCTATCTATCTGGCTGTGTGTGTGTACACTGTAAGTTTACACTAATATTTCAGATCCCAGTCCCAACATCAGAGGGCTCATCTCAGCATTCCCTCCCTCCCACTTGCAACTCCCCTCTCCCCTGAGGACACACAGCAGGTCTCACTGCCTCCCGCCTACTTCCTCATCTGTCTTCATACACCGAAGTAGAATCACTACCCGTGGAGCACACTGACCAACTTATGGACAGTTTGTTTCTCGTTAGCTTGGACAGCGTCACGATATTAATTCTCTGCCTCGGTGCAGTAGTATTACCCATTTATGAGACAGTTAGACTTCTTTTTCTTTATGTTCCATTTTTGCAGCCCCGCCTCCTCCCTGATTAGTTTTACTTGTGCACTTATTTGGGTACAGAGTACGTGAAACACGACTATGGTTCTCAGAGTCTGAACTCTGCAAAAGGCAAACTCAGAAAGTGCCGTTCTACATCCCCTTCTCTCTATATGCACAGAGGTGTATCACGGCTTCTCATTTAAGCTTTTCTTTTTTTCTCTTGAAAAGTACGTCCTAGAGGCTGGGTGTGGAGGCTCATGCCTATAACCCTACCACTCTGGCTGAGGCAGGTGGGTTGTTTAAGGTCAGAAGTTCAAGACCAGCCTGAGTAAGAGTGAGACGTATCTCTACTAAAGAGAGAAAATTAGTTGGGTGTTATGGTGGGCACCTGTAGCTCCAGCTACTTGAGAGACTGACGCAGTAGGATCACTTGGGCTCAGAAGTTTGAGCTATGATGATGTCTCGGCACATAAGGTGACATAGGGACACTCTGTCTCAAAAAAAAAAAACAACAAAACACCCCAAACCCTAAACTAGTATGTCCTGGAGATCATTTCATATAGAGCTCTTCCTTCCTTCCCTTTTTTAAAAACCCAGGTGCATAGTATTCCTTTATGGTACAAATGCACCCACATTTATTCACCTACCCTCCCATGTGTGAACACTATTTTGCCATTACAAACAGTGTTTTGCTGAATAACCCAGTGCAAGTGAATTTTCATCCTGTGGGAGGCGTATCTTTAGGGTAGATTCTTACAAGGGAGACTACTGGGACAAAAGGTAAACACATTAGGATTGTTAGGTGTTGCCAAATTTATCCCCAAAAAGGTAGCAGCAGTTTGCATCTCCCCAGCAGTGCGGGAAGGGGTCTGTTCCGCCACAGCCTGGCCAAGAGAGTATGTTCATATTTATAAATTGTTGCCAGTCTTATAGGTAATAAATTATATATCAGTGTTGTTTTAATTTGCAGTTCTCTAATTATGAGTGATTCTGAATATTTTTCCATAGGTTTGAAGGCCACTTTTATATTTTTTGCTACATTATCTGTTCCTGTATCTTTCCAATTAGCCCTTCTCTCTGGATGCTGTAAATATTTTCCTCTAGTTTGTCCACTGTCTTTCGACTTTGTTTATGGTATCTTTCTGCCACGTAAAAGCCATCTTTCAAAATATAATTTCTTTTATGGCCCCTGGTTTTTGAGTCACAGTGAGACGGCCTTTCTTTTACACAAGAGTTACAGACGTGCTTTCTTCTAGTACTTGTACAGTTTTGTGTTTTATATTTAGGCTCCTAATCCAGTTGAAGTTTATCCTTGTGTACAGTATGAAATACGGGTCTGATTTTATCTATTCCCAAAGGTCAACCTAATTCTCCAAGCACCATTTATTAAAAAGTCCATCTTTACCCCAGTGGTTTGAGAAGCTACTTTTGTTACGCACTAGGATTCCCTTTTATTTGGGTCTAATTCTAGACTTTTGTTCCACTTACCTATTTGTCTATTCATGTACCAGCACCACACCACTTTACTTCTTAAGGCTTTGTGGGTAAGAAACTGAACACAAGCATTTCTTCACTTCTTGGGATTTTTCCAACAAAGCTGCAGGTGTCTACAGACCGTACCTGCTCTTTGCAGCGTCCCAACTCCTCTTCCAGATTAGACTTCTCTTGTTCCCAGTCCTCGAATGCACCGTTCCCTGGCTCTTCTTCCTTCTGGCGTAGCATTTCTGCCAGGCGTTGATTAAGTTCTTGTAGTTCTTCCTGATCTCGAGAGCTCTTTTGGCTAAGTTCTGTATTTTCCAAATCCAACTGTTGGTTTTTGATTTTTAATTCTGAAATCTAATTAAAATTGAAATAAGTTTTAAAAACTTGTTACCCTACTTGTGATAAAAAACAGACATAGAGACATAATTGTTTTTCCCCCTCTCTCTATATAGATAAGTTTTAAAAATATACATTTCATGACAGAAATACTACAGACTCATTATCACAAACTCAGTCAATTCAGAAGTGTCTGAAGAAGTGAGACACTCAGCTTCACCCCACCACAGAGGACCCACCGTCCAGAGGAATAGGCAGCCTTCCAGAGCTTTCTCTATGTGTGTACAAAACCCATAAACACATGGAGATTCTTTATTTCTTATTAGCAAAAAACTGGATCATATCATTTTTGAACTGCTTGCTTTTATTCACTTATAACATCTTATTCTTTTCTTTCCAAGTCAAAAACTACCATAAGCTCTGCTTTTTTTTTTTAAGTGACTATAGGATATTTCATAATGCATTGATCCGTTCCCATACTGATAGATGTATAAGTTTAAAAAAAAAATCATTATTTCTTTAATTATGAAGAAACAAAACAATCTTCTGGAAAATCCATTTCCACACAGCAGCATTTTGTATTTAGGATTGTTTTTTAGAAATAGGGTCACTAGGTTAGAAGGTCTGTCCATAATCATTATTTTCATAGCTCTCCCCAGAACGTCTTCTGCACAGTGCTACCCACTATGATCCCATCAACAGGGTTTGAATTCACTCATTCTTTATATCCTCTTCGATACTAGATGATGTCAATCTTTAAGTTTTACTACTTCAATAGGTGAAAAAACAAATTCACTTAATTTGCACTTTCGTACTCACTAATGAGGCTATGTTTTTTGTATGTTGAACCTCTTTTCTGTGATTTGGCTGTTCATATTGATTACCTATTTTCCAACTGGATTTTGCCGTTTATTTCTAAGTGTCTGAAATATATTTTGGATGTTAACACTTTGTCTATTTCAAGTACCAAGAATACTCTTGCTCTCAGTATGTCCTTGTCCTTGACGGTTTCAGACAGTTTTCTAAATGGCCTTCCCTTTTCACAACTGCATATGGTAAGACTATGCAAATTGAGCTTTGAATGGTACAAGCTCTCTGACTAAATCATCATTCTGTGAAATGATATGCTGGTTAACTGGCATTCTCTATCTGTGAAATTCTGTCCTTAACTTTATCTTTTCAATCATGGTGAGGAAAATGGGAGGGCCAACGTTAACTGAAACTACTCACACACTACAGCTAGTATTTCATAGGGATGGTTTTAGAGAGATCGCCTCCTTATGATTATAAAGCTTGTGTGAAAAACTTAGGGTCCAGACCAGCATTTTTCAACCTTTTTTATTTCCTGACACACTTGAACCTATAGTTAAACTTCCACAGCATACTTAAATTATGTTGATTAAAAAAAAAAAAAAGAGTAAAAAAAGAATATACTTACTGTACTTGGAACTCGTTTGGAAATAATTTCATTAATGATCTTTAAAAATGTTTGTAGCACACCTAAGATCCTCTCACAGCACATCGGTGTGCCATGGTCTAGAATATCACTGGTCTAGAATAATACATACATTATTTCACAAAAAACCAGGAATGTACTTTAGAGTCAGAATGAGGTGCGGTTCCATTTTCAAGCTCAGAATGTATAACCTTACCATCACTAGCCATGTTATTTTAGTAGCATATCCTGTAAATTTGTGAATTTCAAATAAAAAAAAAGAAAATTTCAGACTAAAGAAATATTGAGTATTTTCTCACCTGTTTCTTTAAATTTTCAACCATCTTCTGCACTGCCGTTTTTTCTTGTTTTACAGTTTCTATTTTTTGCCTAAAAAAAAGGATAAAATAAAATTTAAGAGTTAGGCTTTAAAAGTTAGAGTAAAATAGCTTTAGTCCTTACAAAAATGTCTTAAGAAAATTTAAGTCGGCTCGGCACCTATAGCTCAACCGGCTAAGGCGCCAGCCA